AAAGGAGGATATATCAAAGGAGATAGAACAAAACACATTTCACCAAAATTATATTTCACTCATGATCTTCAGAAGAATGGTGAAATAGATGTACAACAAGTTCGTTCAAGTGATAATTTGGCTGATCTGTTCACTAAGGCATTACCAACCTCAATATTTGAAAAGCTGATATATAAGATTGGAATGCGTCGTCTTCGAGACATTAAGTGATTTTTCATCAGGGGGAGTAACTATACGCTGCACTCTTTTCCTTAACCAAGGTTTTGTCCCACTGGGTTTTCCTGGTAAGGTTTTTAATGAGGCAGCAAGCAATGCATATCATAAATAACTATGTACATCCCAATATTTTTTTTAGAGAGTTTTTAACAAGGCACATTATCTATGGACATCCAAGGGGGAGTGTTATGATGAATATCACATTATGGTGGATGTCTACTCTTCTTTCATGATCTTCATCTAAAATTCTTAATGACATATTCAATGACATAATTTGTATGTTCAATGACATATTCCATGACATATTTTCTTCACTTTTTATACCTATATAAAGGTCTTGTAATAGATAGGTAAACACATACAATTAAAGAAGAAAATCTCTCATTCTCTCTATCTCTATTTCTTGTTCATATTTTACTAAATTGCTTTTATTTCATAACAAAGAAAACCTATTCCGCCAAATTGCCTTTGTTGGTGAAACTTCCAAAGAAACTGATTAAAAGCTTTCGCTACCTTTTTGTCTCCTCTAGTTAATATTGACGTGGCAAGTCACTTATTTTGTAATATATCCTTGTATATCTATTTTTAAATATCCTGACAACAAACTAAACATGCAACAAGAAATGTATATACATTAAATAATTCAGTGACTATTAACTTTTGTGTAGTAATCTCTGCATAACTTGTCTGTGAACCAAACGCGCGACCCCTTAGATTTTTAATTTCTATACCATGATCACAATATAAAAATGTACTCTATCAAGTCATCTATAACTACATATAATCAATCGTCCATAAGAAGTACTATTAGAAACCTGAAAAATATAACTCGTTAAAATACGTACAACAAAAAAAATATAAATATCATCTACATAAGCAGTGTGTTTTTAAATGACAAAATATATAAAGTATTGGTGAAAGAAGAAGAAGTCATACATACATATTATCCCAATGTCCTACGGGATAGCACATTACATTTGACTTCTCAAAATTTTCACAAATCTTCTCTCATTCCCAACCACTCTCCTCCTCCTTCTTCTTCTTCTTCTTCTCTTCTCTCCCTTTCTTACTTTAGTCCCCTTATCATGTGATAAACCTCTTTAAATTTTCATCTTTAACTTGAAACAATATGGGCAAAGCATCCAAATGGTTCAAAGCACTCTTCAGTTTCAAGAAACTTGACTCTTCTTCTTCTTCTTCATCACTACAAAATAAATGGAGTGACGTTAAATCCTACAGAGATAAGGATTTTCAACAGCGCCACCATGATCACCACCATGATAGATCACACCACTACGGTGTCTCCACGTCAGTTCACGATAGAAATGACGTAGTAGTAGCGGAGACGGATTCAAGATCTAAATTTGGTAAATTGATCAGTCTTTGTACGTTCTTACAATTATGAGTTCGGAATTTAATATTTGATATAAATTTTTATTGATTTTTTAACATACTACTATATGGTATTTCCTTATTAATTCTTTTCGAGAATAATGTGATATTTCTATATATATTTGGAAATAATGTAACATTAGATTTTTCATTTTACTTTTAATGTAATGCTTTTATACTTGTAAAACCACTTATCTTAAACCCGCATAAATTGGAACGAAAAAAGCATATATCTCTACGTAAACACTAGTTCAGTTATATTATACTATATGCTACATATGCTTTGTGCAGTGGACCCCACCAACAGCCCCGTCACGGTAGACGAGGTGGTGGAGCTGACAGCTAGTAGCGGTGGTACAGCAGCGGTGACGACGTGGAACGGTGTCGTTTTTAGTCGTAAAGAATGGGCTGCCGTCGTGATACAGTCATATTTCCGAGCTTATCTGGTTAGTTATAGAGTCCTCTCTTTGTTTCATTTCACGTCAAATAATGATTTTTTTACTACTCCATAAGTTTGTCAAAATATTTTTCTCGTTCTTTTAAATATATAAATTTTATTTATAGATTCATGCAAATCACATTGGAAATTAGATTATTTGAACCTCGTGTTTAGAACATTTTCACATAAAATGAAAGAGAAGGGTAATACTATCCCTTCTCAAATTATCTGTCATATTTATCTTTTACACGCCCCTTAAGAAAATATTAAATATGAATTTTTTTTATTATTTTACCCTTATTTATGTCTTAAAATATAATCTCTCTTCATTTAATATTTACTCATAATTAAGGTATTTATAGTTTTCAAGAACAATTAATATTAAGGGTAGAATAAAAAAATTACTTTAATCTTGAACTTCTAAAATGACGAATAATATGAAAAATATTTTTAATATTTACGACAAATAATTTGAGATGGACGGAGTATATTCTTTTTTGCCTTTTCCATTTTGATCATTCCACCAATAATTCTTGATAGGAACAATTTACTCGTAATATGTAAAGGACGGTGAAAAAGGTGTAGAAGGTTTTGTTACAATCGGGGCAAAGAAATTGGACATTTTACTAGTCTTCATAAAAGGGAGAAATTTAAAAATAGCCAGATTTACAAGTGGTCGTTCAAAAATAGCCTAGTTTTAAAAGTAATCGAAATTTGGCCACTTTTTATGTAAAGATAAATCTGAACGAAAACACTGTTCAAAATCCGAAAAAATACTTCAGCATAATATACTGGAGTTCTAGTATATTATACTGGAGCCAGTAAAGTATACCGGTTCAGCATAATATGCTGAAAATTCATACACAGGTGCACTGAACTCCAGTATATTATGCTGGACCGGTCTCTATTGCAGCAAAATAGTGGCTATTTTTCATTGACTTGGTAAACGCTGGCTATTTTTGAATGACCAGTCCGAAAACTGGCTAGACAATGCTATTTTTACTTCATAAAAGGGACACATATTACACGATAAATTCTCTCTTCTTCTTTTTTCAGTTTCTTATTTGGCGTACGGTATTCGTATTGGGGCCGATTAAATTCGAATTTACATTGGAAAATTTTACTCTTATGAGTAATATTTTTGTGTAAAAATTAATGAATTTAGCAGACACATAATGTTAATGGGGAAGCAAAATTAAAATCACGAAAGATTAAGGTTTACATTTCGACAAAAGAAAACAAAAAGACAAATTAGATGCTTTTTTCCCCTTTACTTAAGCCGTGATGAGCAGAATTTGGCACGTGCAAATTTTGTTATAATCTTGTTTTCTTAAAATTCTTATTGGGAGTTGGGGTAGGCACAGGGGGTGGCGGTGGGGGT